AGGAAGGACAGGGGCCCCCCGCCACGCCGCGGAGGAAAAGTTTCCGCGAGCGCCCGAGCCGGCCGCGGCACCAGGTTCTCCCCAGCAGCCGCGGCAGGGGGAGTCCCGGGGGGGATGCGGGGGCCCGCGCGCCCTGGGCCAGCCGCGGGGGGTTGGACTCACCCCCGCCGGGGCCGGGCTTGTCATTGATTCGGGGCGGCCTCGCCGGGGACTGCCATGGTGCGTCCTCTCCACGGACTCTCCACCGCCCCCCCCCTCCCGCGCGCCCACCCCGACATACGCACACACACTCCCTCTCTCTTTTCAGTCCCACCCTCGGGATCCCTCCTTCTCTCCCAGGCCCGCGAGCCACTGAAAGTTTCAGCTTTCGAATAACTCCTGGAGAATACTGGATGCTCCAAGGAGACTCTCGCCTTCAAGTTGAAAGCTAGCGCCGCCAGAAACACACTTCCTCCTCTTCTCTCTTTGAAACGCGCTTAAACACTCTCCGGTTCCACCCCCACCCCGACTGATTCCCCCCGGGGTCTCCGTTCACTTCAGGATTTTAAAGGTCGCCCCACGCATCGCGCGCCAGGGGGCCGCAGACGCCGGAGGAGCCGGGGGCGAAGGGCAGGCTCCGGGGCATCCCGGGCGCAGCTCAGCGCGGCGCTGCAGCGCGCCCGGCCCGCGGCAGATGGAGGTCCCCCTTCTCTTCCTTCCTGCAGCTCTTTCTCTATCACTCTCTCTTTCTCCTCGGCCGATCCTCCCCGGCACGGCCCCAGGAAGCGAACCGCCATTCCCCGGGGCCGAAAGCCAAGCCTCCCCTGCGTCTGTCGGTCCCGTTCATGGCAAAAGGTGGAAAAAAAAGGTGAAGGGGGATGAGAAATAACCAAGTTGCTGAGCCCCGTCGGAGTGAGACGCAGTTCAAAAGACGAGCGGCTGCCGCCGCCAGAGAAGGGAGGGAGGGAGGGAGAGCGAGTTGGAGAGGAAGGGAGGGTGGGAGGAAAGGAAGGTGAGAGGGAGAAGGAGATTTTCTCTCTCCCCACACCCCCTTTCTTTTCAGTGCGAGGTCGGTGGTAATTTGCAGTTTTGCAGAGGGAAAGGAATGAAGATCACTGGTTAAAACTGGATAAAAGAGCAGGCAACTGGAGTGATCGACAATTCCTCTTTCTTTCTTTAAGGCAACTCCCTAGGAAAGCTTTCCCAGCCTTGCTCCCGCCCCCTTCCCCGAAGGAGGCGCTGCTCTCAGCTCCCTCTCCTTCACCAGGAGCGGGCCGCACCTCCAGCACCCCGGAGAAAGGGTTGCCGACGGGGGTCCACCGCCCAGCTCGCTGCAACAGCGGCTCTCGGGGTGCTGGCTCCGCGGCTGGCCCTCAGGCTGAGCTTTCTTGGAAAAGAAGGGTTGTGCGTGGCTACTTGGCAGGCGATGGGAATCAACATACTTCCTAGTGTCATTAAAAATGACAGCTACATCTCCTGTCTGAGTGATTCAAAGATGCTAGTAGGTTCTCAAGTCAGTTACAATAGCTCCAAGGTTTTTGGTTTTTTTTGGTTTTTCAACAGAGAACCTAAACCTTTCTTGATGGTTTAAATGCCCGAAAATTTCAGCAAGTTACTTAGACCATATTAGCATTATTAAAGAGAAGGGGGAGGGGCATCCATATTTTAAAAATTGTTACTTTAAAAAATCTAGGAGTATCAGTCAACAGTTGTTGATGGTGGATGGTAAATTGCCCTGAGATTAAGTGACCCTAGCTTCCAGAGGGTTTACAAAGTCAGGAAGCCCAAATAGAAAGTAATAGAAAGCAACCTCAAGGGGAATTGGTGAGGACAGGCAGGTTAACAGGAGGAAAGATTTGAGAAGACTGTGTAGCGTTGTGAAATACTATGTCTACCATGAAGAAAGTTTATGAGAAAAAAATCAGACTCTAGTCATTAATGTTTAGAGGTTGTACTGTTCACGTACTGTGGTAATGTAGTATTGAGAAACTTAAAGGAAATTTTAAAGCTAACTTTTTTGCAGATTATGAAAAATAATTCAATATCTGTTCAACAGACTTTTAAAAACCCACCAATATTGGGGGCTAGTTTCATCTTACACTTAGAACAAGAATGTGAGAGTCCACGCCTGTTCATTTTTAATGACTACTTTACCGATGTCATTTGCCCTCAATAATAACAATGTCAATAATAATCCAATTTTGTCTTAATTGTCTTGACATTCCAGGTTAAAGAGTATTTATAGCCTGGAGTATTTGGATAATTGGTTTAACATGCCACTATATTTTTTTTTATGTAGAAATGAGTTCATTTAAAGAAAAGCCAAGGAAGGTTCTTGAGATAAAATTAATTCTCAGGAGTAGGGGAGAAGATGGCTTAAACTTAGCTTCATGGGAAATAGCCTGCTCTAGTTAGAGGCAGATATTAATATTAATATTATGACACAAACGGATATGAGGAGCTGTGATGATACAGCTTATCCCGTCAGATGCCCAGAATTGTGCTACCACATGGAGAACAAGTTGGGCAGCTAGTCAATGGCAGTGAGCACCATCTGTTTAATAATTAAGGTAACAGGAGCAGCAATGTCTTTGCCAAAGACAAATGAGCCCCCTAGCATGCACACCTACTTTTTTGAGTTTCCTTTTTTGACATATGAGTCATATGCCAGAGCCTACCTGGGACACTTCAGAGTGAAAACAAAGTCTCTATCCTATATAATAAAAGGCTAATATGCAAATTGTCCTTTCGACCAGGAGTTAGACCAGAGGGTGGGACTGGCTGGCCAACTGCCCATGGCCCCTCCCCCCGGCCAGCCCACCAGATTGGCCCTGATCAGCTCCAATTAGCCACATTGGGGGGGGGGGGGGCAGCCAGACCCCACCCATGCATGAATTCGTGCACCGGGCCTCTAGTTATTTTATAAAGTCCTAAGTTAAAGACAATCTCGACATGTTTTTACATATAATTGGTCCAGTGGCCAGATCCCTCAAAATCTTATATAGAAGACTCTGTTGCCCAGAGTAGACCAGTAGGTAAAATCAGGCAAACAAAATGTTGCTTTTTAAATAATGGCTATATAAATTACTCATTTGTAAGAGAAATATACATTTTAGAAACTGCATTAATTCTCAGATGAAAGTCCACAATCCACAGCAGTTTTCTGGTAAGAACAGGGAAAAGGCAGTTTAAACATATGCATCTGAGTAGCAAGTTAGCTGAGAAAGCCAGAATTAGGAGATGTCTGAATGTAAATTACTAACTAAGGACTCATACCTCACATCATAATATATGATATAGTCTCCAGTTACAGGAGAAAAGGCCATTTACTAAAGAGGCAAGAAATCATGAGCCATGAAAGCTGGGGAACAGAGTACCTGAGTCAAACAAAAGAACATGAATGCATTTATTGTATATCTGTTTATTGATATTTATACATTTATTGGGTATCTGCTACATAAAAATAGCAAAATATAATAAATAGTATGAGTAATAAGAGCTTTAAAATTGCTTGTATTACTATTTTAAAGAGTGCTATTATAATAAACTAGAGGCCCGATGCATGAATTCATGCACAGGTGGGGTCCCTCAGCCTGGCTGGTGATCGAGGCCTAGAGGGGGGCTGGCCAGCCAGAGGGAGGGACCCCAGGAGGTTGGCTGGCCAGCCGACTGATTGGGACCTATGGGAGGGGGAGGGGGGAGGGGCCGTGAGAGGTTGGCTGTGGGAGTGCACTGACCACCAGGGGGCAGCTCCCGCATTGAGCGTCTGTCCCTGGTGGTCAGTGTGCGTCATAGCGACTGGTTGACCAGTTGTTCCGGTCATTCAGTCATAACAGTCGCTTAGGCTTTTATATATATAGATTATTTGAATTCTCTACTTACCACCATCAGCATGGCAAGTTTAATGAACGTTTTCTGGGGTGATTCAACCTTAAAATGTGTCACATCCATCATTATGAATAATAATATTTAATTGTATCTATAGAAGTAAATGGTGGTGAAAGGATGGGGGTTGGACTGAACGTGAACTGATTTCTGTTCAGTAATAATTACTTTAAAAATAATACTAATCTCAAAATAGAAACTATGTTGGCCAATGCCTGAGAGTAATAAAGATTTGCTCTTATGTCTTATTTTTTAAGAGCCAGACAATGATAGTATACAAAATCAAACAAATTAAATATTTTGTTGTTGGGGGAAAAGGTGAGCAAGGAAGCATGCAATAGGGGAAGAGTTGGTGAGAATTTTCAATAACATCATCTTCATGAATGATTTATAGCCCATATATACTATAGTCTACAAAAATGGGCCTCTATTAATAGAACACCTCAAGTGCTATTTCATGAAGAGAAATGAATTTTACTAAAATATCAAAGGAATAAGTAATAGTATTTTTAAAAATCTACTTGGGGGGCAGTGGGGGGAGAGAAGTAGAAGAACGAAAATACAGTGCCTGCCAAGTAAATTACTGATAAATTGTCTAAGACCCAGCTCTTACTGATTGCATGAGCAAATATCTCAGTTGCTCAGTTCTACAGCTGCTACTAATGTGCGGACCATTCTAAAATATTGTAACTTAAGGATGATTTGTGTTTTCAATTAGAACATATTTATAGAGACACATTTGAGGGTTACTTGATAGAGAGGAAAGTGCAACGGTACACTATTTCTTTTGACATTCCAACACCACTAAACTTTAAAGTTAGTTTTTATTTCACCATCAGAAATGACAATAGCACCAAAACTATTACTTGCTGTGCATGTGCTAGCAGGATGCCAGGATAAAATTTATATGTAGCCCAGAAATATCTTTGATCTATAAAATTAATCCTCTTTTATATGAAACTTACCAGT